GCATAGGAGGTTCAATGTGGACATGAGGAAATTCTTCTGTATTGTAAGGGTGACAGAGCACTGGCCCAGGCTGCCCAGAGAGGTTGTGGAGTCGTCTTCTCTGCAGACATTCAAAACTCGCCTGGACGTGTTCCTGTGTGACCTGGTCTGGGTGATCCTGCTCTGGCAGGGGTTGGACTGGATGAGCTTTCGAGGTCCCTTCCAACTCCTAATCACAGAATCACAGAATCTCAGGAGTTGGAAGAAGGAGAAGAAGGAGACTTGAGTTTTTCCTCATGTCCACATTGAACCTCCTATGCTCCAGCTTCCTCCCATTGCCCCGTGTCCTGTCATTGGCCATCACAGAGAAGAGCCTGGCTCCTTCCTCCTGATGCTCACCCTTTACAAATTTATAATAATATTGTGTGATTCTGTGAAATATATTTTTCTAATGTCAAGGAGCTATAACAAATGTTCACAAAAAGATAAAATCTTTAGGGCAACTTTCTAGTTAATTTATTTCTTCACATTTATAACTATATATAGACAGATAGATGAAAAGCTAAACTGTAGTCTGTTTTAATCCCTGCATTAGCTCTAATAGGAAGATCTAAGAGCTTTGATTTAGGAATGACTTAAATGCCTTCAGTTACTGAAATCTCTTGCAGTCACTGAAACAGTCCTCCACAAGCTGAAATCTGATTTGCCTTAAGATATTAATGGGCTCTAAAATGCAGATGTTCAGGAACTGCTTCACAACCGGCTATACCATCTACATAGCAGATGTACAGCAGATTGAATAAATATCTAATTGATGGTGAGCATGCAATTTTTTAAGTATTAAGTTCTTAAAGACAAGTATTAAAGCCTTCTTCCATTATCTGTGTTATGTTACTGTCTCTATCTGCTACCCATTTTGAGCAAGACTTTTTTTTTGTAGCACTGATAATACATGTGAAAGCAACCACATGTAGAGAGGGTAAATAATCAGATAATTAGTGATGTGTCAGAAAAGTGATTGTGTTTGAAGCTGAGATAAAGAATGAGTATGCATCTTAAGAAAAATAACAGGAATTCACTAGTTTCATTACAATGTATAAATTACTGAAAATTCCTAATGTTTTCTTTCTCTTCTCTCCTGCAGCTCCCTGCTCAGGCAACACTTACTTCTGCCATAGCAACATGTGCATCAATAATTCTTTAGTCTGCAATGGCATTCAAAACTGTGCATACCCTTGGGATGAAAATCACTGCAGAGGTGAATATAGTGCAAAGCATAGCCTTTATGAGCTAGGCTGGTCAGTTTGCCTTGCAAGGAAGTAATGAAATGTCTTTTTCCTGGAAATGCTGAAGACAGCTATTCTACTAATCTCAGAAAGATGTTCCAAATTTTTTATTTAAACTCGGGAGACATGTAAGCATCCTGAGTATTGATCTTACTGCTTTATAATTAAATTTCTTCCTCTTCAGCATATATTCTCTATTTGAAAAAGATGTCAGCTTAGTAGGAAATAGAATTTCGTATTTGCCAGGTTGCATCCTATCTATTTCTAAACTTTAAATGAAGCAAGGATTGTAGGGACAGGTAATACTTTTTACTGGAGAAAGAAAATATGGCTGGAAAGAGACAGACAAGCCTTCAGGCACAAAAAACCTTTCTCAGGGCTGAAATAGAAGGAACAGTCTTCAAAGACAAATACAATTTTAAGTTGTTCATTACAGACTATCTCAGAGTAAATGCAACGGCTGCATATGGTGTGAGAAAGGGTGCAAAGGAGAAGGAATTGTTAGGAAGCAAGAAGTGACCACTTACGGAAAGCAGACCCATGTGAATCACTGCTTCTGGAACATGGGGCAGGGGAATATTGTTTAAACCATCACGACTACAGTAAATACTTGTTTCAAGATGAGATTTTGTTGGAAAAATTCTCATGATTTGACGAAATTGTTACTTTGTTGAAGCACAAATATATTCACCTGTGCTTCAATAGTAACTGAATTTTCAGAGTTGGAACAAAACCAGTTCAAGGTCATTAATTTTTCTTGCTAAAAGAAAACAATAAAACAACAAACTTGAGCTTGGACTTTCTGTGACAAATAGAATGGCATAAATAGGTCTGAACACAAAACTCTAGAAAGATTTAAATAGGTGTGCCCTTTCAAAGAAAAATTGACCCCGCAGGAATAGTCAGAGCCCTCTTTAAAGAAAATCTTGGAATAAGATGGCTTTTCAACACACAAATCCAGCTTCAATTTTTTTAGTAAATAAATACTTAAAAACTACTTTGAAATTCACACCACTGGAATGGTATATTATGGAAGCTTTCCAGCTAACAAAACTGATCCATAACTCCCAAGTTTTCAGTGTAGAGATAAGCTTCCTCTAAACAATCTTTGGCTTTGATAATATTCAGTGCTCCCTCTGAAGTGCAATTTCTAGATCTCTTTCCTCTCTACCAACTGCTTTCTAGAATCTTGCCTAGAAGCCACACCTCACTCGCATACTGCAGTATTTAAAAATGAATACCATAAAAACCATATCGCAATGTGAATACAGTGTCTTTCCCAGCATTTGTAAATTGCTGTGTCTGGTGCTGGATAACCTACAGTGTTTTATGTTGAATACAATCTCAATTCTGCTTTGATACCTTTACAGCAGTTAATTAAGAAACAGCTGAAACTGGGTCCATATTGCCAGCAAAGGTAGACTGAAAGGACACAGCTGCAACCAAATGAGCAATATCTAGCCTTAAAAATAAACCCTCTCACAGTTGTGCTCAATTCCTGCAGGGACCCAGAGTTCCCATTTAGTCCACATTGATAGCTACCTAAATCTCAGCATATTGTGACCTACTTTATGCCTAAGCCCAGTGACACAAAAATTAATAGCAAAGTTGGTTATGTGCAATTTCTTTTAAGAGACTGGAGGAGACATCACTTTTTGCATAACAATTTTTTATTAAAATAACTTCAAAGGAACCTAGGTGCAGATGAGCAAACTGCCATAGTACTGAAATTCATACCTCCCGTAAAGTATGGTAACACTAAGATCTAAGCTAAGCAGGACAAGGGGAGATCTCTTTCGCATTAAAGGTATAAATGTAACTCAGAGTAAACAGTCTTAAGAAGTATTTCAGACATCACTACTCAGCCTTGTGACTCTCTCTTTAATATATGGATTGTTTCAGATAGCATATGGTGGTATATAAATCTCTCCATGCACTGTGCGTGCAGTACTTAGGCGTGTAACACACATATCTACATGCCAGGAGTCAAATATCTGAAAATAATATGCAACATTTAGACTACTACATTTTCTTCTATATAGCCATTAATGCTTTCCTCCCTCACTAGCAAATGTTGCAGTGTAGAACTCTTGTAGTCCCCTAGGACAAGTATATTTACAGAAGAGAAATCTAGAAATTTTGAGTCTTCAAATAAGAATTTTAAGTATGGAAAACCATCTTGTTCTGATGCTGCCATCTTGTGTGTTTTCATGTGAAGTACTAGCCAAAATGCCATATGATTTGGGTTTGTTGGTTACCCTGCGCCCCCCTCTCCTTTTTTTTTTTTCCAACTGACTTGCTTACTGGACTGTTAAAACCAGAACGTATCTATGCTAAAGCTCCCTGTGTTAAAATAGATATAACAGACTTACACAACAGACCCAGTCATTAAGTTTCCAAGAGATGTGAAAACAAATAGTACAGTCACTCTTACCTCATCACTGTGATAATACTTCACTTTTAAAGAGCTAGATAATTTTAAATCTGTGTTTCCTTCTACTGACACAAATGAGAATGTTGCCAGCAGGAGCAAACCATGGTAAGAGAAGCATCACGTGTAGCTGTATAAGCTCCTGTTCAAGTCATGGATTTTGGAATATGACCTGATCAGGATCGGTTCAGGATTGAAGCCGCATCCCAGCTGAGTCAACATGCACTGGCCACAGAGTTCCACTCGCCACTGAATTGTCATATGATAGCCACTAATCCCATACACATACAGGTATAGTGTTGAGTGCCATTAAGTAATTTCATTAATACAGCACCTATATGGCAGTCACAATGCAGCTTGCTTTGCTTTTATACATTATCAGAAGTGTGGAAAATAATAAAAGCATTATATTAATCTTCATTTGTTCTTTGCAGAAAAGAAAAAACCTGGATTGTTTGAACAAATCACCAAAACTCACGGAACAATCATTGGCATCACATCAGGGATAGTTTTAGTTCTTCTCATCATTTCAATTCTAGTACAAGTAAAGCAACCTCGCAAAAAAGTTATGGCTTGCAAGACTGCTTTCAATAAAACTGGTTTCCAGGAAGTATTTGATCCTCCACATTATGAACTGTTTTCACTAAGGGACAAAGAAATTTCTGCAGATTTGGCAGATTTATCAGAAGAACTTGAAAACTATCAGAAAATGAGACGCCCTTCAACAGCTTCCAGATGCATTCACGACCACCACTGTGGCTCCCAGGCCTCCAATGTAAAACAAAGCAGGACAAACCTCAGCTCCATGGAACTTCCCTTCCACAATGATTTTGCGCAGCCCCAGCCGATGAAGACATTTAATAGCACATTCAAGAAAAGCAGTTACACCTTCAAACAAGCGCATGACTGCCCTGAGCAAGTCATAGAAGACAGGGTCATGGAGGAGATTCCGTGTGAAATCTATGTTAGAGGAAGAGAAGATACGGCACAGGGTTCATTATCTATTGACTTTTAATGTCCTAGTGAAAGTGGTATTGGTGTATATACAAGATGCTTGTGTACAATGACAGTGTATATATTAAAAGTGTATTATACTCAGCGTGTGAGATGCACACACTTTTAGCTTATGATACTTCATTCAAAAAAAAAACCAAACAAAGTCTTTGTAACTAACTCATGCTGAGGAATGGTGGATTTCCTCCCATCTTCCCAAGCTACCTATCCAGTAGAGGAGTAAGACAGAGACTTTGCATGGAAATTATAAATTAAGGATATTGGAAAAACAAAAGAAAAGAAAACAAAACAACAACTACTAATCATTGAACACTGAAAGCATTGACTACTATTCCTCATATTATTTTCTCTTCTTTAGACATCTGCTTTCAAGACAATTTTAATACCTCAGTTGCTTAAATAAAAGTTAAGTGCACCATGTGTTTGTCAACATAGATGTCTTCTTGTATTTGTTAAACTGAAAGTAGAGTTAGAGTTAAGTGCCAGTTAAGAATTATGTTACAGCCATGTGTTTCGTCTTGCCTACCATTTATATTGCCTTTAATTATCAGTTCCTCACTCTATACTTTGTGAGAAATAAGTGTAAATGATTACTGCCTTTTAATAACATCAAGTTATGTTAATTTTAGTAATTTGGAAATATATAATCTTTGCAGCTTTTGGTTACACCACCAGTAAGTACTCATGTTATTCTAGATGCAGACTTAAAAGAGCTTTCTTTCAAGAAGGTTTGGGATTTTAAAATATTCTGCCATATATTATAGATTCATATGGCTCGCTGATTTCTCAGCTCTGAAGTTGGAAAAAAAATATTCCTGCATTTTCCAACTACTTACATAAGAAGACTGTGCTGTACATTTGTCTCTTAAAATAGCCTTTTACTCCTTATTGCAGCCAATCTTCCCTACTGAAATCAATGCTAATACATTTAGCTCATGTCCTACTTGCCTGAAGAGAACTGCTCAAAGGTCTGTGTGATTACCAGATACATGAAGATACTCAAAACAGAGGAATCACAAAGCAACTCTTATTAACCCCTGTGGAACCCTTCTTGTGCCCCTTGCTTCCACATGCAAAACTGCACATTTCATACCTTTTTTAATGGTGGTTCGGACCTAATTTTAAAATTTTTACAATACGGAAAAATTTTAAAAATATAATAATTCTCATTGTGGTTTTTAAACTTTTTGTATAGTTTGATACTGTACAGACTATTTATTAAATCAAGTTAGCACTGTACAGCAGGCTTGTTTCAGTGTCCCTGTTAGGAGCTTTGAATAACACACAGTGGCTGCAATATACATTGCAATTTGCCAAGAATACTTACTATGACTTCCACATTAGCTTACATTTTATTCCCTGCTTTGTTTGGGTTTATTCTGGTATTTTGTTTACAGGAAACCTTTCACTAAAGGTGACCTCCTGGCTTGCACTGGGCATATCCTTTATGTACAAATCTCTGTAAAACCATAATGTTTGTTGTGCTGACTGTAGTACAGAAAAATAATACAACCCTAGCAACTGAGAAATCTTTTCTTTAAAATAAAAGATGAACAACAGCTGTAATCGCAGATTTTCATTAGAATGACAAAGAAAAACTTTTACAAATGCTTAGAATGTAAGAAGTTGGGGATAGGGAGAGGAACTGAATATCCTCAACGCTTCCCAAATTCAAAATTAACCTTGTCTGATGTTCAGAAAGAACTTAACCAAAAGCTCATAGATCAGACCCGTAAGGCTGCATCTTGATGGCACTCTTTATGCTGGTCCCAGAATGTATTTCAATTTGAAAGAATGTAAATGGGCAATATTTTTAGATGCACTTCATGCAGAAGAGAAGTGTTTAAAAAAATCTAGTTAATTTTGACTTGAAAATTATTAAACATTTAATTAAATAATTTCTTGACAGATTTAATTTACTTCTTGTTGATTTCAGTAATAAATGACTCACTGTGACCTATGTGATACAGAATGTTATTTGTGACAGTCTGTCAGTTCCAGGTCCTTTCAACAAGTAATAATGCAGTTTTACACAGGTCATTTTTGTCCGTATAACTCTTGTAAGTGCTAGGTTTGCATTTTTAAGTTTTCTTTTTCGGTTATATTGGTCCATGTGATAAAATAACGTGATCCCTATTCTTTCCTAAATTATGTTGTCTTTGAACAGTAAACCTGTAATAATAAAACAAATTGAAAGCCTGCAAAGCCCAAGTCTGTAGAGATAAGGGGGAAAGCTCTATTGAAGAAGTTCCCAAAGGGCCTGAATAGTATTTCAGTCTCAGTTGTAACTTTTTGATTACAGGGTCAGACAACAGCTGCTTTTTGGCTCCCCCAGAGCATACAGGCGAACTTCCATAACCAGTCATGTCTTCTGGGCATAACGTTTTCCAGTATCCTCAAGCCCAGCTCTACAAGCTTTGCCTTCCCCCTTCCATGCTTTCTAATAAGTTTTGGGTATTTTTGTCTTCAGCATAAAGACAAGATACTCCTGCCTAATTAACCCCTGCTACTGATTCCCAGTACAGAGCCAAAGCTTTCCCGGGTTATTTCTGTGATAGCAAATCCAAGCCTTACTGTGGCAATAACTGTACTGCTTAAACACATCTGAGAGAGAAACCCAATGGAATAATGATTTCTGTAGGCTACTATCAATAGTAAGGGCAGAAAAATGAAGTATCAGTGCTTGTTTTATTACAAGCAAGGTGAAATTAACATTGAACCTGAGATTCTGAAAGGAAAACTTGTGCGTGGTGTGTTGTATGACTGTACATCTCATTGTAACGTTGGGTTCAGTTACTTCGCTGTGCTTTAAGAAACGAGCAGGGATGATTAGAGCCAGATTTCCACTTACAGTATAAACAAATTCCCTTCACTAAGGAGAAAAACTAACTGGGCAGACTGCCTTGTACCATTCAGAGTGCAGAAAGCTGACATTTTCACCAAAAGAATCTGGTATTGGTTTTGCAGTCTCAGTTCAGTTGAAGCTGATGTTGGGGTCTTTAAACTTTTTTTTTTTGCATGAGTGAAAAACACCACCTTTCATATTCTTGCAGAATCTAAGTACTGTTAGTGTTATCTCCACACCTCCATCTTACAGCTGTACATTTCTAGGAGCAACCCGATTTTGCACTCAGTTTTGTCCGTGTTTCCAATACCCTCTGTTAACACTGAATGCACATAAGCAGATACGTTCCCTAGACACACATTGGCCGGCAAACCACCAACAGCATTAACTACTTCTTGGTATTTGTAGTTCATTTTTACCTTTTATTGTACTAGCTTAGACATCGAACTATCTAACATGAAGAAGGGTTTGTTGTGGATAGAAGTGGTAGAAGAAAACCTACAGCTAACATGAAAATAAAAGTAACCGAGAACCATGGTTCTTGAGAGGTCTTTAAGGAGACATCTTCTCGGCTTCCTGAGGAGAGGAAGTGGAGAGGAAGGTGCCGACCTCTTTTCCCTGGTATCCAGTGATAGGACACATAGGAATGGTTCAAAGCTGTGCCAGAGGAGCTTCAGACTGGACATGAGGAAGCATTTCTTTACCGAGAGGGTGGTCAAACACAGGAACATGCTTCTTAGAGAGGTGGTCGATGCCCCAAGCCTGTCAGTGTTTACAAGGCATTGGATAATGCCCTGAATAACATGCTTTAACTTTTGGTTAATACTAATAATCAGCATTAAGTATTAAAAGATCCATGAGATTCTCTTGCCTGCTATAGGCATGACCCTCATAGTGCATACAAATTATAATGGCATAAGAATCAGCCTGTTTTTACTAAATCAATACAAAAAGGTTGTAAAAAGAGCTGTCAGTGACTTACAAGAAAAGGTGCTTGTCATGTGAACACTTTATAGAATTTTTAAGTCAATAAAATGTTGGGTGGGTTTTTTGGTGGTTTTTGTGTTGGTTTTTTTGTTTGTTTTTCTTGGTACAGAGAATTGTGTGCATTAGCAGCAAATCTGCTAATTGAGAAAAAAAGGCCTTATTTTCAGATCAACTTAGTACTTAAATAAGAAGATTCTTATATCAATAATCATAACATTTAAGTTTACAAACTATTTAAATATAATCCTTTGTCTAAAGGGCTACCAACAGTAAAAGTACCTCAGAAGTCAAGAGTAAATTACTGCTTGAAATGGAACAACTTAATTCATATGGATATACTGAAACATATCCACAGTTTGATCTTCCCGTATGGTCAGTCTCTATATCATCTGTTCACAGTAAAACTCAGTCAGATCCATTTACTTTTACATGTCCTTATTTCAAAGTTTATGTATGAACACTATGATTGCTCGGAAGGTTTGTAGGCTGTTTACCAAAACAAGATTCCTAATCTGTATCAGCCTGAAAGATAAGCTGATTTTACATTATTTGAGATTGTAGCATTACAGCTGAGTATTAATTATAATGGGAGAAAAAATTTTAAAATCAAAAACCTTCCTCTGAGTTAATTCATGTTTTGAAAATGGGTATTTATAACATCTATGTCAATCTAACAATATAAAAGCTATCTTTAAGACTTCTGTTCCTGTGGTTTCCAATAACCATCTTTCTATAGGGTAAATTCCCCCTATAAATCCACAAATAAACCATATGTTGGTATGCTCTGTTACGTGGTTCTGTCACCATGGAACTGAAAGTATATTTTCACATTCAGATTCCTTTGCTAGACTCCATTTTGCAGAATCAGCTTAACAAAAATCTCTTTTCCATACGTTTCATAGATCAGCACCAACAACAGTCATTTGTGAATTGTCAGCTTGTTCCCTCTTATCTCACTATTGAAGATAATCTACAATATACCACATAAAACAGCTTTGTTTTTAAAAGTCTGTTCTTAAAGAGTCAGGCTCAGGGAGAAGCAAAGCAAGAGCTTGGTGTCTTCGTATGTCTTTCCATTACCATCATATAATTGATGGTAACAGCTTTTATACTGAAGAAACCCAGAAAATTTATATCCAATTCTGTTCAAGAAAAATAATTAAATAATGATAATAGGTACCCAAGACCTACACACCTCCAAATTCAAAATAATTTGCTGTTTTGGAATCCGAATCATGTCTTCTGAAGGGTAAGAGTTGACAATGCTGCCAGTACACTTAGAGGATGCACATCATACCATCTTTGCTGAACAACTGCTTCCCCTCTCAGACACAGATTTCCTAGACATCTTCAGAGTTCTACATCTTACTTCATTATTTTCTTAATTTACATATAGAAATACAGGCATATTACTTACATCTTATAATTAGCCTCAAAGTACATTATCACCTACATAACAGTTGCTCCTATCTTCCTTCCAGACATATGTAGTAGCAAGAATTATATTGTAGAAGTA